ATGTCATGCCTAGAATATTGTTTATTTACAGTGAAAATGCCCCTATTTCCCAGATGGAGGTATGGCCTTGTGATGTAACATACTTACTTTGAATTTGATCATCAGCCCTAAGCAAACCACAGTTCAGGTTAACCTGCCCCATCTCAATTGCTTTCCATTTGCAGCATTGAATACATTTCTATTTTAACTGCATTTATTCCTTTACAATGTCCACCTTCAGAAGATGTTATTAAAGTGCCTTGTGATCTAAAGCAAAATAAATGACCAATTGCTGTTATTATAGAAGAGATTGGAAGAATCTGAAATCCATTCTCAAAAGTAAACTGTACATCTGCAAAACGTTTAAGACTGAATAATTTTATATACTAGGAGCTCAAGAAATAACCTGTACTTAAAAGAAGAGTTTATATAACATCAATTTTTTTAACCCGTAAGTCTTGTGTACATGGCTGCAAAGAAAAGAACAGTGCATAATACAAGCAAGGTTGGCAGAGTTTAAATGGAAATGTTTCCTTCACACCAGAGTTTCACACCAGTTGAGAGATACTTTACAGCCAAAGTGTTGGTTCACAGTTATGTAGACAAGCAAATTAGCCTGACTGTAGCTTGCCATCATGTGCCTTGTACCTCTTGTCAGCTGGATGAGGGGTGGCAGTCACTTAAGGCATCTAGATACAGATGCCAAAAGAACTTCAAGCTCCCCTGGAGAAAGTCCCCCAATTTGACTCAAGTGCACTGGGTTCCAGGGCAGTTGTCTCCATGTGCTTAAGTCTCTAGCATGGGGTATCCCTGGAAATTAAAAGACATACCAGAGAGTGAGCCATGTCAACAGCAGGTGGCATGGGGAGAGAGGCAGATACTTCATGAAAATCTGCAGCTCAGTTTCAGAAGCTCTTGCAATATGTTACTACAAGTTCTAGGAGTAGGACGTAGTAATAAAGAAGGAGCATTAAAGTACTGCCCTACAGCTGGCAGGTCTGCAATGGAAACTGCTTAGGGCCCAGGAGATTTGATCCGGTTTTCTTATCACCCATAAGAATGCTACATTAATGCAATTTCAATTATATTTTTCTTCTTACTGTAAGATTTAGATGGCCTGTGTTTCCAGGATCTGGCACTACTAATGCTATAAAAGATTCCAAAATATACTATTAATTTTATGTTCCCAACAATTTATAATTTAAATCTATATTTAAGTAATTGTACTAGAGAGATTTCCCTGTGTTCATTAAAAATGTTAGGACTGCAGATGAGTACTTTATCCAGAAGCATTATTTCACATGCCTTCCTGTAGAAAGACACCCAAAGTATGTGAGCCCTAAGTATTTACAGAGCTTACACACAGTTTACTTGTTTTACGCAGTGATAGCACTACTGCCTTAGGTGGAGAATGCTGCCTGATTTTTAAAACTTACTCTAACGGCCTTTAAAAAGTTCTGTCTTTGTGTATGTGTGTATGTGTGTATGTGTGTGTGATGCAGGACTTGGAAAAGGGATTTTATTTTTTATAAATTTATAAAATGCATATAACATGAATTTATCATCTTAAGTATTTTTAGCATTGTTAAGCATATTCACATTATTGGGCATCCGTTCTTCAGAACTTTTTCATCTATTTATTTATTTTATTAAATCATAGCTGTGTACATTAATGCAGTCATGGGGCACAGTGTGCTGGTTTCATATACAATTTGAAATATTTTCATCAAACTAGTTAACATAGACTTCACGGCATTTTCTTAGTTATTGTGTTAAGACATTTATATTCTACATTTAGAAAGATTCACATGCACCCTTGTAAGATGAACCATAGGTGTGGTCCCACCAATCACCCTCCCTCCACCCATCCTCCCTCCTCCCCTCTCTTCCCTCCCCTTTCCCCATATCCTTGGGCTTATTTTGGCAAAAATACTATTCTAATTAAGTAAACCACCATTGTCAAAAAACTTGTTCACTCTGTGAAAGAATTGTTTGGTTAGCGTTGATGTTATTTCTTAGAAAGTGGAAGCCTGTTATGAAGGGCCCACGTGCGAGGGGTCGGCCTTCCATCGAGTGCCTTCCTGAACTGATCCACGCCTGTGCAGGGAAAGAGCACTTGTTCAGCGCCATGGTGGAGAATGAGCTACATGCCACAAAAACAAAGCAGGTAAGGCCCTCTCTTAAGTGCTTTGAAGGCTCCCCTACTCACTCTGGGAAGTTGTACCAAGAGTTTTCTAACTTAAAGCATGAGTTATAGAGCCAGGCTCAACTGGGTTTAAATTATGGTGTGCCATGTATTAACAATGGTTGTGTATATAAAAACGTATCTAAGACTTATTCTGTAAGATTAAGCAAGACACTATATAAAGTACTTTATACAGTTCTTAACACAGCGTAAGAACCCAATAAATAATACTAAAAGTAATGACAGTAACAGTGATCGATAGTAGTATTGGCACTATTAGCTATTGCTTCAGAATAGTTTTTCTTTTTTTTTTTTTTGCTTGGATATATTTTCATGCAATTCCCTCGGTGACTTGTTTTGCCCCCCTTTTTATTTTAAACAATTTATGGTTCCTCGATTCTAAAGTACTCTTTCAAAGTATTCACTCATTTGTGAACCATATAACTTATATAGAAAGCTGAATCTTTGTTGTGAAATATAACATGGGTCATCTCTCCAATCTTTGGAAAAGCCAAAAATATGAATGAATGATGCCAGAAATATTTGGCTATGGAGACTTCTAAGTATTAAGCAATTTTACCCTAAACATGTCAAAGTAAACATTCAGGATTTATAACATAATCGACATATCGACTTGCAAATGCAGGTATTAAGGAAACTTCTAAACCCTGCCTCTTTTTTTTTCCAAATAGAACTTATTTTTGAGAAAGACTTGGAAAAAGTGTGACGGATGCTAACATCTGATTGACTGTTCAGTTTCTGTTGAACCCAAAATTGGCACAAAAAACTATTTAAATATTCATAATAAATGCCTATCTTTCTAACTAAATTACCATCAAAATTATGAATAAAAACAATATATTTAAATCAAAACAAGGCTTCTGTTAGCAACAACAGATTTCTACCATAACATACACTGATTCCAAGCCAAGTTTTAGATGTGATGAAAAATTAGAACATTGTTATAATTAGTTCAGGGAGAACTCAGAAGTAAACTTACTTAATTTATTTGCATAAATTGCCATTCTGTTATCTTTAAAACCAAATGCAAATTGGCTCTGTCTGATATGATGATGGTTATTTGGCTCAAAAGTGCTTCAATTTGCAGAGCAATCTGGTGTCGGCTCTGCAGTGAGGCGATCCCAGGTAACATACAAATCCTGAATTATTCCAGAAATTAGTATGTTTAAAGCATCAATTTAAGTGCTAATTGCAGTAGTAATGAGAAAAAGCAGTACAACTGTGAGATTTGCATCTTCTACCCCATCAGTATGCCTGGAACGGCTGCTGACTGGCAGAGGATTTGGCTGCTAATTAAATAATTGTATGCATGGCAGTGCTCTTGCCTGATTCAATAGATGAAGATTAATCCTCAGATAAATATGTTTGGCTGGTATTGAAATGTCTTAGCAGTTTCTTTAAAAACGGCTCATTTTATATACATAAATATATATATATATATATACACGCACACACATACACACATAGCTAATAAATACGTGTACACACCGTAGGTCAAAAATGATAATATTAATTCACACAAAAAGATTAAATATATATATAAGCCAGATATGACTTGTGAGACCTTCGTAAAGTAAAATCCCAATGTGTGGCAATAACAAAATATTATATTGGTAACGAATTGGATGGCACAAGTAAAGAAACATAGGAAGTCTTGCATCGTGTGGTAAATGTTACTTGTGTTGTCTCACAAAATTAAATGCTTTACAGAAATTGTGTATTTCAGTGTCCCCATGACCGCTTCCCCATGCCGGCCAGTCATAGACGAACATCAGGTGGCAGAGCCTCTGTACTCAGCGACTGTAGTTTCTAGCTGGGGACAGACCATCATTTGTATTTGAAATACATGCTGTGGCTTGACTATTTCAAAATCTAGTCCCAGACATAATTTCAGATTAATAAAACAAGTTATAGGATTGGAGTTGAATTGAAAATTTGCATTGAATTTCCATTTCTTAATTCCTAAGGGGTAGATTGGTTCATCAGGGCTACTTCATTTCAATGAAGTATACTCAGCAGCACTAAAGTCTTAGCAAATGCAATCAAAGCCTATAAGGAAATCTATATTATGTATTAAAGGAATAAAAAGAAAACTAAAATTGAGGTCCTAATGTACTTTTAAAAACTAACTTAGAAGATGGCAACTGATGAAACAGCCCATGTATTAAGGAGTTTTCTTGACCGGTAGTGGTATAGCCACATTACTGTGTATATCAGAAAAAGGTGACCTCTATTTTGTCGCATCCTTTCCATGGACCTAGAAATTTATTCATTCAACATTACTGAGCCCTTACTATTTGAATACTGGTTTCTCACAAATATTTTTCAATTTAAAGAGCAAAAATAAAATCAGTAAAGTATTTAATACTCTTTTATTAGTTTAATTGGTATTCTCAACATAATAATGCCAACAAATACGTCTTTGTTTCTAGAAGGAACTCTAGATTTATAGGATTTCTTATGATATATAGATACATAGAAATGTTTTCCTTTCATAATAAATAGAATACAGCTGGAATGTGGACCAGTAAGTGGTCAGTGGATAATGCTGACTTCATCAGTTGCAGATAACATTTTTTCAGGTTGCCTTTATTTACACAATCAATGTTCCCCACCTTAGGTGTCACAGAAATGTTAGAATAGATGCTTCTCTAAAACAAACCAACAACAAACATTTCTTAACTCAGTAGTTTTTGATACAGTCAATAAGCACTCAGGAGAGTATAAATCTTGGGAGAGATTTACAATAAAGGAATCACAAGTTCAGATAATGATAAAGGCTTTCTGAGTTGTTTTTACAAGAACTTTAAAACTACTAAAAGCACACTATTTCTACACGATACACACACTGACACATACAAGTATAAGAAAAACTAGGGAAATCTAAACAAAATCAGTGGATTATATCAATGTCAATATCCTGGTTATACTATTGTACTCTTGTGAAAAACACTACCTTTGCAGGAAACAGGGTAAAGGGTACACAGGGTCTCTTATTATTTCCTATAACTGCATTGAATTAATTTCAAACTTAAAAAGTTGATTTTTCTAAAAGAACACTATTCTTAGTTGATCACTGTGTTTCATGTTTACCATTCCTTTATTATTTTTCCTTTCTTTTTTTTGTTTTAGGCATGGAATTTCTTGTCTCATTTGCCAGTGATAAATGTTGGCATGAGTGTGAAAGGCTCATGGGATGACTTAGTTGAAGGACATAATGAACTCTCTGTCTCAAATGTAACTGCAGACACACGAGATGACAACAAATGGATCAGGTTGCATGCTGATCAGGAGTATGTGCTTGAAGTCAGCTTGCAGAGAGTCCACTTTGGGTTCAACAAGGTAGAGTATTTGGTTTCCATTCTCAAATATTTCACACCAAATACCAGCATGCGCCACCACACATATCTTTTATATGACTAATGTCTCCGTGTCATTCATGAATCCTGCTTTCTCAACTGGCCTTATGCAGAAAGAGGCAGCCTTTTTTCAACCCCAGAATATTCACCTTACATAGAATTATATTGCCTAGAGTACGCTATTCTCAAAGCGTAGCCTATAGAATATTCAGGAGTACCTTTTTACAATGCAGACTTCCTAGCCTCACTCCAGACTGAATCAAAACCTCAGAGGCAGGTTTCCCAAAAATCTATACCCCTGTGCCATACCCCCAAATGATCATGGAGTTTCGTTGGCGTTTGAGAAACACTGCCCTAGAGGCACTGGGTATGCAGGAGCCACGGTGGGCTAAGTGTGCAAGACATTATGGCTTTACCATAGAGTTCTATAAATTTCAATAGAACACTTAGCTTTTCTGAGCCTGAGTCGCCTCATCTGCCAGCTTCCTTCATAATGTGTGAGACAACTTTGTTAATGTTCATGCAAGCCAAAAATGTATAATATTTTCATTTTGAATGATGATGCTCTTTTCTGTTGCTTCTGATACCAAAATTAATTATCTAGTCCTCTAAGAATGTTAGTACACAGCATGTGAGCAGATTGGTTTTCAGTACCATAATAATTGAAATGAGGAAGAATTTGTCTTCCTTTCAGCCCAGTGGATCCAGGGCTTTCCCGTATCTAGCTTCAGCCCTCGGGGAGGAGGTTGTAGTCCCTTAGTATTGTCCCATGTGTTTTCATACACAAGATGGCCAGCAACTTTCTACTGCTATGAAGACTTTTCAGGATTGTTCCTTCAAGTCCCACCTCATCTGATTTCCAGTTCTAAAAATCAGTCAGCATAAGTGTGAACTGATTGGCCTCCAGCATTTCAGAGGCATTACTCTGAGCATTTTTTAAGATGACATAGTGTATCCTACCTTACAAAACTAAAGTAGTAATCAGAAAATTAGATTTAATCATGCTTTAAGAACTTATTTTTATTCTTAAATGCTATTAAAAAAATATTCTCTG